TGAAAATTTTGTGGGGTGGCCTACCACATGGGTAGGGTTTAAGGGTTAAGCATTCTTTATCAGTATCATTAGTCATTTTTGAGTTGATTTTCAGTATCATTAGTTTTAAGACATTCAGTATATTTTAGTAAGTAATCAGTAAATTGTATCCTTTTGTAATTTTATAGAAATAACTTGTTTTAGAACATTGTTTCACGAACTAATACTTCGCATCATCAGGCTCACAGGTTCTGTAAATACAGCAAAAATATTTTCTAATGATAATACAAACTAATAATGATAAAAATACAAGTAACATATACAAATACAAAATACAGTTTTCGAGAAAGACTCACTTATCACGTTTTATAACTTTTTTAATTTTATTCAAAATATAATCATCATAAAAACATTTAACACTTGATTTGAATTTATCATGTTATATATTTTGATAAATATAGTTTCAAAAATTAATCATCATCGGATGAATTTTATCATTAATAGATTGCATTTCCATTGTAAAAAAAACTGATTTGGTTTTTTACAGAACCAATGTACCTGAGGATGTGAATATTTAGTTCCCGAAACGTACTTGAAATATCAAACAAGTAATTTCTATAAAACTACATAAAGCAATATGTACTGATTATTTATTTTCAAAAATTCTGATTGTCTTAAAACTTAAGAGAGGTACTAAAAATCAACAGAATTATTGACAGACAATAAACATACTAGTAAACAATATATAAGCATTCCTTATATGTTTCGGTAACTTAAATAGATATAAAAGGTATGTAGGAGCTTCAAATTTTAAAAATGGCCGTTCATTGCTGAACCCGAGGATCTTGTTTCATACTCTGAATGACACTAGTGTAAAGTATAGAACTGGAGCAGGAAGGGAGTATTACCACCAGAGGGAGTAACACAACCTCAGTATAAATAAAATCATTAAATAATATTAGTAATTTATACTTTTACAGACAAAGATTCAATGAAAAACTCTTAGAAACAGCATTTAAAAATACAGAGGACAAACATCTGTATACTAGTAAAGAGAACTCATTTTGTTGACAAAGTAATAAAAATTAGACTTACATATTTTGGGCACGAAGAAGTGGAAGACTACAGAAAACAACTATAACCAGCTCATACTTTTTAATTAAAAAAAGTACCTGATCTTTTTAAAGATCTGTTTTTTTTACAACAGACATTGTTTAAAGCAAAAATCGCTATCACTAATATTTTAGTTTTCAAATGTTCACTTTTTAGCATTTTCGGAAGAAACAGAGCAATAACCAAAATTGGACTAGCACTTTATATTTTACCCTCCTTTAATACATACGAGAGAGAAAATTGGAGCCATTTTAGAGAAAAAAATTTGTTTTAAAAAATTAAAAATTGTCAATGTTTCGCGCAAGATTACACGAAAACTACTAACAGTTTCGAAAGATTGTAGATGAACGTATACAAAAAACTGTCTTTAAAGAACAGATTTCATTAAAGAAAAAATCTTTATCTTCAATATTATAGTTGAAGGAAGTCGCTCAAAAAAATTGACTTTTGCAATTTTGAAAAACTCCGGAATTTTAACTACCATGAGACCTGTAATATTCTCTTAAGCGTCGATTATGCTAACCGAGGGAAAAGTTTAATCAAAAAATTTGGTGCCATTTTTTAGAAAAAAAATGAAAATGTTGAGGCTTCATGTAAAGTACCCTCAAAATTAAAATATCCATTTCAAACTACCAAAACCTCGAGTTTGTTCAGATCGATCAAGGAATATCAATTTTGGAGAAAAGCGGCTGAATAGACGGACAGACTAACGTTTTGTCGTCAATAAATTTTGCGGTATCAAAGACGCACAAAACATGGGTTCTGACTAGAATCACGATTTATCCACTTTTTCGTTACCAGGACCCGATAATAAATTTTTTTCTGTCGGAAATTCGCCTTTTTCCGACCCACCATTACAATACGTTCTCTTCTTTCATTCGTAAAGGCGAGAGAGTAAACACTGTAGCCTAATTTGGGAAGAAAATAACTATAAATTGCCTTTATTCAAGCAAAAAATTACCGCGGATAACATTTGCTTTTTTACTTCCGTAATATATATAATATATAATAATATTAATATATATATATATATATATATAATATAAAGATATAAGTTAAAGTTATGCAATGCTGCAGAAAATCGATTTCGAGATTTCAACAGAAATACACGTTTTGGGGTCCTCTGAAACTAACTTTTTTCCCTTCAAAACCTCCGTCCGTGTGTCTGTCCATCTATCCGTCTGTATACACCACTAGCGCCTTATATCATACTTAGGATTTTATTTTTTCAAAATAGATATTACGCGGTCGACCTGGCACGTCTCGAAGCGCTGCGGTTTTAAAAAACTATGTTCAAAATTTGAGGGTACTTTAAAGTGCATTTACACTGCGCGAGCGAACGCTGCCGAACGAACAATTCTTCGTCCGCTCGGCCGGTAGAAACGAAACACCCGAGCGAATACTCGTTTGGACGAGATCGACTGGGGGAAGCGAGCGAACGTTTGCTGGGTATGTTCGCATCGAGAAAGAGAAAGCGAAAGACTGGCGCTAATTTCAACAGTTATGGGAGCATAAAGGCGAATTGTGTTGTTTGTAGCTTGCATAGAACGGAAAGAAACTTTTATGAAAATGATACGTTTAAAAGGCAGGAAAAAGGAAAATGCGGTACAAACTACAAACATTTACTTAGTCCCATTATATTTTTAAAATATGTTTCAATATTACACATTTATATTGCGAACGCCAGAGACAGTTCACTTCAAGGAAAACGTGCTTTAATAATATCGATGAAGATGTGGCTTTAGTAATGAAGTATTTTATATATGTTTTTGTCGAGAATATGTTAATTTTATAATGTTAGTTTAATTTAATTACATTCACTCTCAAACGTTTCTGTTCAATACAATGGTTTTACGTGAATTAACATCGTTTTGTTAAATTCACATTTTTGTGGAAATAGTCTTTTTCGCAGTCCTAAACCTCAGTATGGAACATTCAGAAATCTGTAGTTATTTCCATTCTTCTAAGAAATGTATATAGAACTACAATTTAAACCCATTAAATTCAAGAAAAGTAATGAATTTTTATTTTTCAATTCATGAACCAGTTCCCAGAATCCGACTTATTAGGCAGGAAACTCTGTTTTTATGATAGCACGCAAAAAGAATTAGCCCCAAACATCGTCACTCATCTTCTATTATTTCTACTCTAAAAACTAAACTCGCTCGCTCGCCCAGTGTAAACACACCTTTACATGAAGCACTTGGACATTTTCAATTTTTTTTCAAAAACGGCTCAATTTTTTTTCAAAACTATTTGTAGATAGTGATAAATATGCTCTACGTGATGACATAATAAAATGTGGTTTAAGCGCTACTGAAATTTGAAGCTCAATAGTGTTTTTTTGAGAATACAATAGAATTTAAAAATTGCTTGAAATGTGCATATTAACGACGTGAGAAAACTTTCAAAAATATTGCATTTTTTACGTCATATTAAAGAGTGCAATAATCACTATCCGTAAGAAAAGTTTGAAGAAAAAAATTGGTGCCATCTATGAGAAAACGGCGTTTGAGCGTCTCTTAACATGGAAAATTTTGATCCAGTTTTCACAGGAAGATGTTGAGTTTTCGAGAAACTTTTTCGAACTTGACATTATTTACAGCATATGTAGTCGTAAATATAATGATGTGAACAAATCACCGCTAATGTAAATATAAACGACGTGAGAGACAAGTAAAAAGGTACATTTTGTAGTTTTTGAAAACACAAAGGAATAAAGTATGTATTTTATTATATATAAATAGTACATTTAGCACTGTCCCTACCAAAACATTAAAGAACTAATTTTGAGCCGTTTTTGAGACAAACTTGTTTTTCTTATTTTTTTAAAATTGCAAGCAATATTGCGCGAAAACTACTAAAATTTTCAACGCAATATTCATGAGCTTAATGACAGAACTCTCTACGAGGAACACATTTTCTTTGAACGAAAAACATCTATCATCAATTTCGTAGTTGTAGGAAGACACCGAAAATACATACTTTTGAAATTTTCAAAAAATCAGAATTAATCGTGAAAATCGGATCTATGGGATCAACCTATCTTTTATAAGTGTATGTTACTCTATTCGTACATGAAATTTAATGAAATAAATTGGAGCTTTCTTCAGAAAATTTTGAAACTATCCGGGGAGCTTTATGAAAAATATCCCCAAATTCTAAAGAATGTTTTTCAAAATCTCAAAGCTTCGACTGGCGCTAGTTGTGTTCACAAACGGACAAACGTTCACAGACGGACGTTTTGCCGTCAATTGATGTTTCGGTATCAAGAACCCACAAAACAGGGATTCTGGCTACAATACGTGTTAGAGGATTTTCTCTAATTTAGCAACTAGATATATTCACTTCTTCGTTATCAGGGCCCGGCAGTGAATTGTTTTCTGCTGAAAATCCGCCGTTTTTTCGCGCATCATTACATAACTTTCCCTACGTATACTACGTATACGTGATGGTACGTAATGGTATATACGTACGTATACGTGATAGAAAAAATGGCATTTTTTTTTTTTTGAATTTTGTATGATAATTTAAATTTATCGGCAACAACCATGAAACAAGTGCATTAATGCGTTGCTCCTGGGCTTGAAATTGGAAGATAAATTCATTACTATTGTGCGGCAGGCGTATTCCAAATGCTGTCTTCGAACGGCGCCATTAGGGTGGCATGCGCCTTTCTCAAACTCATCAAAAAAGTACCCCGGTCGTTATCTGCAATTTACACCAGGGCTCATGGGTGGAATCGCTCTCGAGATTAATCCTGAGTGGAGCGGAAGAGATAAAGCAGTGAAAGGGGAGCGCTCGGCCATTAGAGACCAAATGAGGTGAATGAGGGAGAAGCGAGCGAAATTACTGGGTCAGTCTAACAATCCGTGTGAATTTGTTGGTGTGTAACTTTTTATAAAATAATGGAAGGTGGTAGTGTTCCATATCGACTACAAGATTCAGAAAAAGGGTACGGACCAGTCCTCACATTGTCAAAGGTAAATTAAGAAACGTAATGATGTGATGTTTAATTTTTTGCGTAATATTTTTCTACTACTGATAATGTTTTTATAATTTTGAATTGAAAGTAGAAATTTGTAATCTAAACGTAGATAATTAAAGTCTTCGCAATAATGTGACTTTACGGGGCAATATCTGACTTCTGATGCCTTCTTTTAAGGCATAAGAACTTCCTTTAAGGTTGCTATTTTCTTTTTAGTGAGAGAGTCTGATCTTTTTCGTTTTAGACTTTATGGGTGATTTTTCTCGCAGTTGGTCATAAATACTACCTAAAACAATGGACTCGAAAATCCAAATAATTAACGTAATTGAAGCAATTTATTCATCAGAATCATGTTATTCATTTAATGTTATCCATTTAAATAAATAGTTGTATTTTCTCACTAGCTAAAATACACCTTTGGAATCAGAAATTATAATGTTTAACGGATGAGCTAAGAAATCGCATTATATTTTTATTAATTAGGTTGGTAGTACTTTTCCAAAGCAATGAATGATATCTAAACCTGTATTTATATAATTTATATGTGTATCCTCTCATTACATACATTCTATAAGTTATTTTCAATGGTCTGCTGAAATTTCAAAATATTTTCAATACATAAAAAATCTCGATTATGTTAGACCAACTCACTTTATGACGGTTTATTTTCATTTATAGTAGTTAAACGAAAATGCATAAAAGAATTAAGAGGATAATTAAGTTTGAGCACATTCCAATAAAAATGAAGATAAGTGATTACTACCCCAAAATTACAGAATATATGTAATATTATCATCCGTTTAAAGTTTTGCTCGCGCCATTTTTGTGCCGACTGAACCTCCACCAAACATCATTTTACGCAGCCTTGTGTCTGCAACTACAAACCTTAATGACTCACCAGACAGCTCATTACTTCACAACGGAAGTGGTTTTCAAAACTTGCGTAATTGTGCTGCTAAATTGTTCTATCACATCCACTAATGACCATGTGCATACATTACAATAAAGCAAATGTTTTACAATATTAAGCGTAATAATTTCATAATCTTATTCAGTGAATTACACGAAAGATTTTCAAATACAAAAAAAAATGAAATAATGCGTGTGGTCTAAATTTATGAATTCACATAAATATATTCCAAAATAGAATTAAGAAAGATGAATAAGACAAGAAGTCATCAAAAATATTAATCTTCGATATTTTAAATTTCGCCTGGAGAAAAGTTTCGTAATTTTCGGTTCTATTGCATGTCATGTCTATGTCTTGTCGTGAACCAGCGTGCGAGGACATCCCCTTGAATTCCCCTGAAAGTTCACACTGGAGAGAGGAAATGAGTGCGCCCCTAGGTCTTCTGGCAGCCTTACCTCAGACGCACTCTTCATCGCCCATTACGAGGGATGCAGATTTCTCTGACAGTAATCGTTTGCATCCTGGTTACTCGAAATATTTTGCCAGGGAAATGTTCCATACAATTATCTGCGGGGTTAAAAGTGTTCACCCGGATTGTAATTTGTTGTGCTCAGAACCCTACATTTTGATTATATCTGTTTCTAAACCCAGCTTTTATGTAAATGTATTGCATTTCTTACGGTCACTTCACAACCCTTCTTTCAAATGCTTCATATTCTTCCTTAACGTGGGAGCGCCAAGACGGCGTAAGAAGGGTACTACATGTTGCCCTTTTACATTGTTCACAACAATAGAATTTTATTGCACAATGTGTATTCATTTTTGTTATACTTTAAGAATGAATGTATACCACAATTTGAAAAATATGATGTAGAATAATAATATAAATTGAAACATATTTATTTTTCAACGTCATTTTACGCGATATGACTATAATGAACGAATTTATTTAATTTTTTCATAAATGCAAAAACCAGAAAGTCTAGGATACTACACTCTATGAAGAATACGTACTAGAACTAGTGCGAAATTTACATTCAATAAATACATGATAAGATAAACTAGTGGTGCTAAAACAGCACGTACTTTCTCGCCTTTAGTTATGTAATACTATTTGTACCACAATTTCTCTCCGAATTAATACATCTGTCGTCGTTTTTTGTAAAATTAAAAAAAAAAGTAGAACATTTGGTGCAGAAATTAATATTTTCAAGGAAATATCAATACAAAATTGACGATTATAACCGATTTTCATTCAGGTAAATCATGTTCCAACAATAAGAAGCTCACGAATATTTGAATAAGAAATTTTAATTAAGAAATTAGCTCCCGAATATTTGCTACCGAGCCATTGTTGCATTCCAATTTGATATTATCTGAAGGCTAGCAATATTTCAAATAGGTTTTCAATAATTTCTAAAAGATTAATTTGTAAATCTTAAACAGAATCACGAATGTAAGAAACTAACAAAGAAAAGTTAAATGATATAATTGGTTAATTTAAAGTTTTTGGTGGATGGTTCTCAAAAACTTCAGTAAAATGTTTTGAAAATATTTCTACTTTTTTTTACACTTCTCGCCCATTCATTGTTTTCTTTACAAATTGGGGGAAAAGCTTTACTATGTCGTTTGGATTTTCTTGAGGCTTCAAATAAAGAATATTCGGAGGCTTGAGTTGCAGAGAGATTGGTTACGTAATTTTGAAACCTATTATCGTTGGAGGTTTTAGGTAGAATGGATAATTGTATGGTAGCTCTTTTGTAATTGGATCTCTCAGTTGGGTATCTTGTCCTGTGCCATATTTTTATTATGTAACTATTTTTAGTTAATAAAATGGGAAGGTATTCTGGAACTCCAAGAAACGTGCGCAGATGATCCCCCATGCGTCACATAGTGTTTTTACTGTTTTTGACTAAATAAATCTAAGGTATACACAATCACTAAGGCACTCCTTACCACGAAGCATAGTAAAGTTAGTAGAGCTATTGACACGTCCGTACAGTGTCGCTGCTAAGCGAGCACTGACGAATCTTGAAAAGAAAGATTACGTTTAATATCATTTAAGCATTAAATCTATTTTAAATTGCATCATTTAATTGAGTTGAATGTGAAAATGAATGGATCATTTCGCTTTGGATAATAAGATGCGGGAATGACAAGCAATTCGTAAAAAACGAGTAGTTTTGATGAATACAACAATATACTTTTCTACCCATTTGTATTTTGTTACTAGCGATATCAAGCTTGCTTATTTTCAGTGTGTAGGCCTATGCCATAAGAATCAGCGGGCGTTGTTGCTTGTTGTAGCCCATTACTGCAAAGCCGCACTAATAAAAAAAGGCGAAAATGACGGCCGCCATTGGTTCGCGTTAATATAATCTAATAATGCTATTTGCTGCTAAAATACGCATCGACGGTTCGTAATGGTTCATGTTGAACGTGAATAAACTGAGTGCAATGGCAGAAACCTGTTTTCGTTTAAAACGTTTGAATTTAAAGAAATAAATGACTTTTTCCCGCTTCGTTTGCTTAAGAATTTTTCAAAGATAGTTCAAGTGTGAGATAAAAATTGTCACTTTATAATAGGTATTACATAACCATTAACAATATTGCGAGAAAGTATATGCTGTTGTAGCACCACTAGTTTCAATATTTTGTAACTCCAAGATCCTATGAAATATTTTAATGAAAATTAGGCATTATAGAATGTAGTATTTATGTGAAGTTGCAAGACTAAGTATTAGGACATAAAATATTCCTCTCTCATCAGCCGTACTGGTTGCTTTAGTCATCCCAGTGGGTGAAGATCACATGTTAAAACTACAATCACATTTAAATTTAGAATAGCAAGATTTTTCATTTATCAAAACAAAATACCATGCCTAGAACTAAGAAAAGAAATATTTCTTCTTCTCCTTCTTCTGCACTTCAAGGATTACGCGGCTGCCAGTTCCGTCTTCACACATCGAACTATCTTCTACATGGTCTAAGGCACTAAAGATCTTGACGATTACACAATGATCTATTCTGGAGTAGACAAAACCTAAGCAAATAAGCTAGTGGAGTACTAAGATTGATTGATAGGAAATTGACTTCGAAAATAGTAAGTTATTGCTATTTAAATGAAAGAATAAAAACAGTAAGATTAAAAATAAAGATATAATCCACAAGTGATCGAAGTTTGTGGCCCAGAAGAAGGGATAAAGAAGAAAGCATAACTTTTTATGAAAATCTACAGAAATGTATTTCCCAAATTAATTATAGAGATCATTTGATATTTTTAAGCAGAATATAGCAGAACTTTGTTTTCGGCCCAGAAGCTGCAAGCTCTGAGGATGATCGCTACGCGATCGAAATGATCATAAGTTGAATTAAAATATTGATACCTGACAATATCTTTATTTATTTATTATTTAACATTTGATATTTATTGGAGAAATGCAAGAGTGGGAAACAAATCAATACCTAAGATACGTTGGGACCTTCAGGGAGCAGACAACGAATAATAATGGTATGGAATTAAGGAATTTTGCCACCTAGAATAAATAAAAAACTAACACATTCTTTAGGCACAAAGATATTCATAAATATACTTGAAATGCTAGAAAATAGAGATCACTCATAGATTATATTATAGTTAATGAAAATTTATCAACCCTTTATTCAAGATACATGAGTTTATAGAGAAAAAGATATTTACTCTCAGATCACTATTTGGTTATCTCAGCTATTAAATTACTAAGTAGATGGAAAAACCAAAACCCCAAAAATAAAAACAGTGTAGAAGAAGGTTTTAAAGAATATGTGCTACAAGAAGACAGTATTAACTAGTGGTTTTGCCAAAGCACGTACTTTCTCGCATTATTTCTAAAAGATCCGCAACATTTCACTACTACATAACCAGCAAAAGTGTTGTCAAACAGCTAATTATTTTTCCACTCCGAGACTCCAATTCAGATTCTCAGAGTTAACGCGCCTGCACTCATGCACTCATACCACTACGCCACACAAGCGCCGCGTGGTTCGAACTCTCACAAAGGTATAAAAAGGTAAATGCTCGATTTGTGGAAAACAATCTTTAACAA